TCTTGTCAGAACTAAAGGCTTTGGTTGAAAACCCTAATCGTTCTCCTGCTCAGTAGCTGGACACCCTGGCAGTACCCGTCCATAAAGCTCAAATGAACACAAACAAATAATTTCACACCGCATCGGTCGTCGAGCAGGATAATCAGGACCGCGCTGCCCATTGCATTAAGCGGGGTGGGTAGTGATAAGTGGGCTACTGCTCAGATATCCCAATCTTTGTTTAACTCCTTGTTTTCCCTACCAAACNAGTTAAGACCTGGCACGAGGGTATGAAAACCCTAACCAGGAGACTAGGTCACATAGGTCCTGTTAGGCTCCCTGGCTGGGGACCTCGGGATGATGGCACCGATGGTTAGAGACACTGAGCGATATGGCTGGGTGTCGTAAACAGTGGCGTTCGTGCATCTCCCCAATTTCTTGCCAACCTTAGTCCACTGAACTTCTCCATTTTCCTTTCGAATCCACTTTCAACTTTCCTTTCTTCTCCTATTCTTCATCCCAACGGGCAGCCAAAAGACAGCAACCAAAACCGGCGCACGAAAGTGCATGGTTAATGGTTGTTCAAACTGAAAACTGAAAGAACAAAGAAGACTATCCAGTCGTAAGCGTGAATCATACCTCCGCAAATGCACTTGTGTACACATCCACGATCGCTCAGCGCTCCGCATTCGACATCGATACTACTCATTCTAACGGAACAGTTCAATAATGTCCAGACAGCGTTGTTCGACAGTTTGAGTTTAGCTTTCAGTTTCAGTTAGTACAACCATTAACCATGCAATTTCATGTGCCGGTTTTGGTTGCTTCCACATGAGACGGAACTGTTTCGGAAAAATACAGCAGTAGGGATCCGATTGCCGCAGCACATGCATAAAGCTTCAGACAAATGATGTTCGAGCAACAACATAGAACGAACTGCGAACTATTAAAACTATCTTACAAAATGTTTATGCAAACCTGTGTTGGTTGTGGGTAACACAACTTGGAAACATTCTTACTTTCGGGCCACCTCCCGTTCGTCAGAGAGCTGTCTGAGTGGTTTCTCCAAACGTTTAAAATCAATTGGCAGTCGGGCTTCAAGCTCATAGATACGAGCCATTTCTTCGGTGCTGGGATCTGTGTTCTCTGGATCCGCAGACAATTGACTTTCCAATTCGGCGTTCGGTTCTGCTCCAGATTTGAGGGGCAGTTCCAAGTCTTCCATCTGCATGAAGGTAAACAAAAATCAAAGAAGCAATACGTTTGTGGATGTCGGACAGATTGGAAGAACGAACTAGTTTCAAAGGTGGATATGAAGT